CTCTCCATCCGCCCCTCTTTCCCACTCTTTCCATCTGCCCCTCTCTCTCACTCTTTTCATCAGCCCCCCTCTCCCACCTTCTATGTCCTCCCCACTCCTCTCCATCCGCCCCTCTCTTCTCTTCTATACCCTATCTGGCCCTCTCTTCTCCCCTCTACCCTATTCGCCCCTCTCTCACTTTCTCCATTCGTCCCTCTACACTCTCTCCATCCGCCCCTCTCACTTCTGTCAGAAATGTGGTCTATCAGGCCCTTTTTCTCTTGAAAATTCATTTTTTTAATAATGGTACGAAAGCCATATTGAAGTATATGTAAAATCCCATGTGGTTAACACGAGGCAATGCCATATATATGGATCCATTTTTAAGCTTTAATAGGATGTATCACTGGAGGGAAAAACCCAATATCACTGAAAGGAAAACCCAGTGGTGCGTTTGGATTCCATGTAAATTGTGGGAATGCTTGAATGACATCCTATTATATGAGTCATTAGTGGACTAATGACATGTTTAGCTCAGTACATAGGATTAACAGTTTGGTGACAACTTGTTAATCCTAATTAACTGCACTTATGGGAATTAAGGCAGGAGTTATACTTGGATCTCAACTCTTATAGACCATGATTGTGAGAGATACTAAATAAAGGTGTTCTCTATAAAAAGAGGTTAACCCCTCTAGAAAACAGAGAGAAGGATAGAAAAGACGTGAAGGAGATTCACCAAGAGGACTCTCAAGGTAGCCTGTCATCGAATGGCTTGGTATATAGGATTTGGTATGAACCCTTAGGTCCCTCATGTGATTTAAAGACGGATCCGAGTAAGTTTTTTATCAATTTCAGTTTTATTTATTTATTATTATTTTCATTGGGACTAACAATGATATCAAAGCTAGGTTGGATGCCCACTTAGTAACATTGCTGGAGTCACATTCGACCTGTATAGCTGAGTAGTGTGTGCTGATATGGAGTGGATTAGCTATACCATGAAATTCAGTTCGAGTTGTTTCTCTTTCCATTATGATTTCCAAAAAGGCTCATTTTTCTTCTTTTGACTCCAGCCTTTACATTCTTCGCCCACCTAGTTTCTCCCCTTAAAGCTAGATTCAAGGGATGGGAGCAGGAGCATGTTAAAACTCTTTATTTTTTTAGTGTATCACTCTCTAGACTTGCTTCTTTATTTTGTTTTTTTTAGCTCTTTTCTATCTCTCTTAATGTAAGCCTCTCTCTCTCTCTTGTTGTGATATTTTTACCTCTCCTGGTCGTTTGAACCTAATCATAGTGGCCCTTCTTATCTTGAGATTGTTGGTATAGAAAAGGATTTGGAAGTGATTATGTTACTTTGCTTGTTGGCTAAAAATAAAATGTTGGTTCATTTGGTTATGTTGCTTTGCTCGTTGGCTGAAAATAACATGTTGGTTTATTATTTTTCTTTCCCATTTGATTGCGGATATTGTTAGGAAATCAGTCATGTGTTATGCATTCAATTATTGGTCAACACCAAAACATTCTGAAGTATACAAAATATCAAATTTATATTGAATGCAGCATCACAATTGGTAGAGGTTAATGGATATTTTATGCTTGCTGGAGTCAATTGTGTCATAGATCTACTACTTCTTGATACATTTTTATACAAGTAATGGATACTATATTTAAGCTAGGAGCTCTTGACTCACCTGGCTATCTATGTACAAAGTGTTTCCTCTTCAATTAAGTGTAGAGCGGACAACAATGAATTAGTCCCTTTCCCACTTGCTTAGTGGAGTTGAGTATTTATACTATGGAAAATTGATCACAATGATTTCATTGGGAATTGGGCTTGATGTGAGGTAAATCACTTTGTTGTGTTGTATTTTTTGAAAGATAACCATGGTGGGGAACTGTATACATGAAGCTGCACTGGTAATGCAGAGAATCATTGCTGCTTAATTTATAAAAGAGACCAACTGGTGTTATACATGTTCCTTTGTTATCATACATTCAAATCCCAACAATGAATGCAAATCAATGTGCATGGTAAGTTCTTTATTATCTTAAAATTAAAATTTGACAGGTTTCAATTATAAAATATTTGTGGTAAATTATTTATTGTCTTAAAATTAGAATTTGACAGGTTTCAATTATAAAGAATTTGTTGTAAGTTCTTTATTGCCATAAATTAGATTTTGACAAGTTTCAATTATAAAGCATTTGTGGTAAGTTCTTATTGCCATAAATTAGAATTTGGCAGGTTTCAATTATAAAACATTTGTGGTAAGTTTTTTATTGCCTTAAATTAGATTTTAGCAGGTTTCAATTATAAAGCATTTGTGGTAAGTTCTTTGTTGCCTTAAATTAGAATTTGGTAGATTTCAATTACAAAGCTTTTGTAGTAAGTTCTTTGTTGCCTTAATTAAAAATTTGTTGACATTCTAATTTATCTTAATAGCATGAAATAAATACAAATCAATATGCACTCCTATTTTGAAATTTACGTTACTCTCTCTCTCTCTCTACCCAAGGATATGCAAGTCTCTATCTCCCACTCTTCATTATTTTTTTTTTAAAAAAAATTATAGAAAAAGGGTGGAAGATATTCCAATTTATTTTCAACATGGGCCTCTAGCAATTATATATATTATGATGAGATATATATTAGTTATCAATTTTATTTAAAGAGATACTTGATTTGAAAATTTTCATGGTGATCAATGATTATGAAATATTTCAAGTTCAACAATATACGTATAATTTTTTTCTTACTTTCTACAAACATTAAGAATATTTTGTTTAGATTGATAATGTTGTTTATTATTTTTAACCAAGTTGTGACTTATTTTTTGGTATTTTTTTTGCTTAGTATTCTTTCGTTTATTTAGAAAACTAAATTTGTACCTATGAGGATGTAATGATGTGCTATTATTTTTCAATGAGATGTAATTATCATTGACATCTTATCATGTTTTGTGTATGTCCAAATGACATTAAAATATTTAATGATGTATCATGTTAGATTGAATTATCATATTGGTTATAGTTGTTCATTAGATAGTGGGAGTAAATCATCATTTACCAAATTAGAATTGAATTTGTTAGCTCTATAATTATCAATGCACATTAAGAAAGTGAGATCAATTACTGATCTAGCATGCTGGATTATATTGGATTAATTTTTGTTATTATGATGACAACCACATATTGAGAATAGTGGGAGCCATTATTGAATAGTTTGATACTATCATCGATTTGAAACTTATTGAACATATAAAAAAAAATGATATTATATTTCTTTCTTTTATTATTGTTAAGGTTGAGACCATTTAAGATTTCTTTATGTATATAATAATACTAACAACTTTGTCAAATTATTATTAGTTTTTATTATTTTGACCTATGATCCGAATCTGAGCTTTGGACTTTAAAACCAGTTGTGGACGACATGTTTAAGAAATATGTAAAAGCAATTGGCAAGTTTTTTCTTTCTCTTGATTAAAAGATACATGTAAATAAAATTCAACGTATTGTGAATAATTGTTAAGTTATATGAGAAATCCCATACAGGTAGTATAAGGCAATGCTATATACGAAACCATTGAGGCCAAAAAATCCAAATGTAGTATTTAATCACATTGGCAGGGTATATTAGAAATCCAAATTCCATGCAGGTAGCATAAAGCAATGCCATTTCCAAACCATTGAGGCTAAGAAATCCAAGTGTGGTGTTTGACCACATTGGTGTATATATGAAATCCTATGTAAGTAGGACGAGGCAATGCCGTATACAAGGTTATTGAGGCCAGGAAATGAAATCTAAGTATGGTGTATGACCACTCTGGTAAGGTATATGACAAATCTCATGTAGGTAGCATAAGGCAATACCATATATAAGGTTATTGAGGCCAAGAAATCTAAGTGTGGTGTACAATCACATTGGTAAGGTATAAAAAAATCCCATATAGCATGAGGCAATACTATATAGCTAAAAAATCCAAGTGTGATATTTGACCACATTGGTGGGGTATATGTGAAATCCCATGCAAATAGCATGAGGCAATACCATATATAAGGTTAAATCCCATGCAGGTAGCATGAGGCAATACCATATATAAAACCATTGAAGCCAAAAAATCCAAGTGTTGTATTTGACAACATTGGCATGATATATATGAAATGCCATGTGGAAAGCACGAAGCAAGATTCATTTGAAAAGTACAAGGCAATGCCATGTACAAGATGTTAAAAGGCCTTTAAGCCAAGTGGGAGTTGTTGGAAATGTAGCCTCTGCCACAATCCCTTTAGTAGTCCAATGAAGTGGTGGGAATCTTTTTTTTTTTTGCTTTTATGGGAGTGAGCTTAGTAATAGAAGTTTCACTCAAAAAGGAACATACCATATTCTTCTTCTCCAATCTGTTATATATATATATATATATATATATATATATATATATATATATATATATATATACTACTATTATTATTAGTAGTAGTACGTACGCAGCTATATAC